AAGTTTAAAATATTAATACAGGAAACATATTTATTATATTTAATAACAGAGAAAGCCATTTCTTGTTCTATAAATGTATTACTATAAGTCTGAATGAAATTATTTAGACATAAAGTTAAGTTTAATGATATGTAATAAATTTTAACTGATGCATAGTTAAGTTTCTGTTCTGTGACTAAAAAGCATAGCTTAAGAAATTAAGTAAATATCTGGAGACAGTTTACCTGTAATTAAATTTACACATTGCATTGAAGTACTTTTATGCCACAAAGAATTAATGCTGCTGACCATGACAGTGAAGTTCTGAGCAGTCTAGATGGATAGGTTAAAATAGTCTGCAGTCCATGAAAATGAAGATAATATCTGCTAGGGTTTAAATCATATCTAATAATAACTACATTCTTGTTTATTTGCTAGGATTATTGAGGTGAAATCGAAAGCAGGCAGGCATGTGAACAAACTTTTGTCATATATCCCTTAATATTCAAGGAGATATGAAATCATGCAGTTACACAATCTACAGTTACATTGCCATCATAATTTTTACATATCAAGTGTACACTTAGTAGCTTGTTGGTTTCATATGAGAGATCTCCAGTATAATTTTACTCATTTGTTCTTTATCTACATGCATGGCCATATTAATCCAATAGGCACTATTCGTAATCCCCTCTTTTATTCATTAGTTCTACCTACACAGCTTTGTTACAACATATCACTTTCTGGTAACATATTTTGACACAGATAAGTATTAGTGATTTTAGATTTTTCATGTGTCATAAAAAATTACAGGGTCCCTAATGCATTTAAACAGCTTCTGTGTGTAACAGTCATTAGATGAACAACTGACTTTCTGGTAACATATTTTGACACAGATATGTATTAGTGATTTTAGATTTTTCATGTCATAAAAAATTACAGGGTCCCTGATGCATTTAAACAGCTTCTGTGTGTTACAGTCATTAGATGAACAACTGAAAGAGGGTACAACTAATAGGCATGTAGATGTGGTGGGGAAGAAATGACAAAATGCATACAGACGTTAGGGGTGCTCAGATGTATACACTGAAAGCATGGGATCCTCAAAATTTGGTTGTGGTGATGACATTGCCTTCAGTTACATAAATAGCTTGATCCTTTTGCTCCCAGTTTTGAAATCCCAGGCCAGGGCCTGCATTTGATGTTTCAAATAACATAAATGCAAATATTCGTATGAGAGTAAAAAATATTAGTTGGGATTTGAGGTTCTCAGTACTGAGTCCTGAGTACGAAGATGGCTGTCTTCTGTGTTAAGCGCCGTGTAGTCTGGTAGAAATTTACCGACGTTTCAGAGGTCTACACGGCGCTACAACCCACAAGACGGCCATGTTATTAAAATAAATCGTTCGGCCTGTCGTTTCGCCTAAAAATAACATAAAAATTTTAGTAGACAGATGGCAGTTTCACGAACGATGGGTGCCAATATTATAAAATAATCTTCTGAATTTTGTGTACGTAGTGTCTTTTCAGTTGGTGTTTCTGGTGCCTTGTGTTTAGTGTGAAATCGTAGTGGCTATGAGAAAATTAAAAGGAAGTTAGTACATTTTTTTACTCAACTGTTTCCGATGTACTAGTTAAAAAGTAATGAAATCATTTAAAAAGATAGATATTAGCAAGTCTTCCGTAAGTATGCACTTTATAGCCATATAATCAGTTTAGTTATCGTACAGGTTAGTATGTCCAATTTTAATGGTCAGTGTGTGTTACAGTTTCATAACTGACATTGTATAGTAATATATTAAAAATTTTCCCTTTTATATTGATTGTAAGACGAGTTGTGGTAGTTCTCTGTGTGTATCGCTTAACAGGGATTACGATTCATTCGATGGGTGGAGGTTATGTTTGTTACTTTTTCTTGCAGTATGTAGTCATTATTTTCTAAGCACTGACGACCCATTATTTGAAGTATTGGAACAGTTTGATGGTTGCAAACCCAAAATCTGTTGTTATTATTGGAATTTAAGGTTAACACCAAGGGCATGCAGAAAGCAAAATGTTAATATGAGTCAACTTCATTTTTGCTTTTGTATGCACTATGCTTTAGAAAGTTTACCTTGTATGTATCTATAGTGTCAGTGTCATGTATACATGCTCAACATTTTTCATTACATCTTTATAACAACATTTGTGTGAATACAGAGACAAATTATGCTGAATAGTATCTTTGGTGTATAAAATTGGCTACTTCCTCGTCACCACCTGTTGTACATTAACATTAAATTTATGGTAATAATCTCAGTGTTGGTCTTCTGAATTGTAATGCCATTTGAACTTGTAGGTAGATACCAATTTTTAGATGAACATACTACTTCTGATATGTTATAACAATGGGATTTTTTTTATTCTTTTCAGCTAATAAGTTTGAAGGCAGAGCTCTCTCATAAACAAGAAGAAGTAATTAAAGCTAAGGCACAAGCTCAGGCACAATTCATACATCCAGTTCCCCTACCCAAGAAGCAGACTCTTTGGACTAAGACAAATGCTGGTGTTAGTGAACGAGCAGAGAAGGATTTGGAAGCAGAGCAGGAAGAGGAGGATGCTTTTAAAAAATCAAGGTGTGTGTCTGTTTGTATAAAATGGCTGCTGTGGGGGGGGGGGGGGGGGGGAAGGAAGGTTCTGATACTTTTGAAAATTATTGTGAAAAATTATGGACACCGTATCTAGAATTAGTGTCAATTGATGTTAACTGAAATTAAAATTAAGGGTTTGTTCTTATCCCAACATCTGTTATTCTCTAGTTTTATTTAACTTTATATTTTTATATTTCATGGGAAAAGGTGCTGGAATGGTGTACTGTTACACATTTCAGAAAAAAATTCCCAATTTATTGAAGTATTTATCCATAGTAATAATGCACATTGTGTGCTTGATTGTTCATGGGGCTTTCAGTGTTCAGCTTTCATTATGTTTATGTTTTTTTTATGTCAGTATGTTCCCCAGAAAACCAGATTTTACATTTTCACTGACTTTTGAACTTCCTCAAATTTCAGTTTTTATCATTGTCTTTGCCATATTTTAAAGCTTTTTGTTATCAGTTCATATTTAACAGCTAGATGTGGCTGTGCTAAAGTGTTTTTCCCTGAGAATAGAATGTCAATAACATTAAGTTGGCCACTTACCTCCATCAGGCACTGAGGCATAGAATTCATAATAATTACCTTCATGCCCCCAATGTATTACCATTCTGAGGTGCTATTGTAGATCTGCTTTATAAATGTGATATTAGGGTAAGAAAGCGTCCTTCCATTCTTGAACTGAAAAACTGTCTTCTTTTCAGAGCCGCCTTAGAAGTAAAATCAAGGATGTATGACAAGCTGTCACAAGATTCCTCAGTCATTGCTGATGACACAAGGTTTCTTGTGAACTTCCAACAGAAATCATTAGATGAACATAGCAAAGCAGGAGAGACCAGTAACACGAAGGAACCTGAGGAAGAGGAGGAACATTTCAGTGATGAGGATGATGGTCCATTGGATCCAGAGGAAGACTGGTATGCAGTGGGGTACCTATGGGGTGGGGTGTTATAAAAACTATGATGTAACATATTGATTCATAAGCATATACATAAATGCTGGCCACTACAGAAGTGTATGTCTGTTTCTGCTTCCAGGGTGGATTATGTAGACTGCTTAGGTCGAACAAGGAGGTGCCTGAGGAAAGACTTGGCTTATGTGAAAGAAAGGGATGTAAATCTCTTTGAGTCTCTTGGTGGTTTTGATGACAAGACGAAGGCAACTGATGATGGTAATAGACAAACAGTCATAAGTGGTGAGGCAGAACCAGAACTGATGTCTGGTGACATGAGGCGAGAATTGCTTCGCCAGAAGTGGGAGCAACAGGAGGAGCAACTACAAAACAAAACTGACATCCACTACCAGGATGTGCTGTTCGATGGTGAGTACATTGCTTTCTTACTTCCATCTTTGAATGAATGAATGAATAAATGAATGGCAGTGGTTCCAAAACACGAGTCAATTATTTGACTGGTTCCATCTTCGTACAGCTAGATCTTTACATGTTCCACAAACAGTTTCTATAACCAAAAGGAGAAGAAGTGAGTGTAATTCTACATTTCAGTCATGGTATGCGAGTGGAACAACTGACAAGATGTAACGAAAATGTTGAATACAAAAGCATTGCCATTATTACTATTTTATGTAAATTTGTAATATTGATGCTACACAAAGAAAGTACAATTATGTATTTTTCTCAGTGAGGGATGAAGTGACAGTAGATTGGAGAAAATTGCACCCATAATTTGTTCTTCACCTAATATTATTAGGATGGTCAAATCAATGATGATATTATGGGAAGGGCATGTAGCATGCATGAGAGAGATGAAAAATGCATAAAAAATTTCTATTTGGCTGCCTGAAGGGAGATGATTACTTGAAAGACATGGGTTTATATGGGAGGATAATATTAAAATGTACCTTATGTAAATGGGTTTTGAAGGATGTTGATTGGATTAATGTGCCTCCGGATAAGAACTGGTGGCCGGCTCTTGTGAGGATGGCATGAACCTTTGGGTTTCACAAAAAGTGGCAAAATTTGGCTAGCTGATTGTATTATTTGCTTCTCAAGAAGGACTCTACTCCATTGTGTCAGTGGAGATAACTTCCTTCCTGAGCCTTTCCATTATTTATAATTTTGTCATGCCATTCAATGCCAAATGACCTCTATAGTTGCTGTTGCTTCTGCTGTTACTTTGGGCTCCTAAAATAGAAAGGGGGCCCCACATTAGAGATGACAGGAATATGACTACCTACCACTGTCTGAACAGATTCCATCTCCTTGGCCATGTCCTTGATACTGTCAACCATGTCACTTCACCACCTGATATGTCACAGTATCGCTGGGAGAGAATCACTCGACTCTGAAGTGCACTGACAGAGACCTTGCAGGCCTGTACTTTCTCTCAGGCAACCAAGTGGGATGGATAAACGGTCTGAAACTTACCTGATTGAACTGACCTTGAATTAAAGCAGTGAGAAACATTTCCTTATGTCACTTTTGATTTTATTATTCTCAGTTTCCCTCTAGTGTCCGTCTTACATAAGCCAGATTAGATAAAACTACTGACAAAAATGGCCAGTGTTTACAAACTGTGTTGTTCCAGAATAGTATGACAGGGAAGTATGTCTGTCAGTCATAGGATTTTGTTCAGTCCTTCCAGGAAAATTCCAGGCAGTAGCCACATTCTTTGCATTTCGTCTTTACCCACACTCAGTAGTGTAGAAGTGATGTAAAAAGTTCAGGCCTTAGCATGTTTTCTGGTCTTACTGCATTGTATTCTTGTCCCTCATACCCTGATCCCATGTTTTTCTGTCTCCTCCTAGTCTTTTTCCTTCATTTTTTGTGTACATATTTTCTATTGTTCCATTTAGTGGTTTAAAATCTGAAATCAGTCTGTTTTCTGGTTCCTAATTTTATCTCTTCTGCTTTCATTCTCTACATTTCTTAATATCTCATAATGGTTGTGCTATAGCTCGGGCAGTTAGACAGTGGTGTCTCTCTGTGGAGGTTCAGGTTCACTCTCATGGCAGTTTATTTATTATTTGTGGTGGAAAAAGTGGCAATGGGACCAGTTTTTCTCTGAGACCTTCAGTTTTCCCCTGTAAAGATCATTCCACTGATTCTTTGTATTAATTCTTGTAACATTTGAAGGCTGGACAAAGGACCCATTGACAAATGCAGTTCTACTGGGGCATCCCCTTCATAACAGTAACTGTAATAGTATATCTCTCATATGGTGCTTAACCTTCTGCAGTTGATATAGTGTCATTGTATAACACAGGTGCTTTAGTATTGTTGTGCATTCAAGACATATTCTGCCTGCATGGGAGTGCAGTATAAGAAGATAACATGTTGAATGATTAACTGTAGGTAGTTCTAAGAAAGATAACGAGGCCAATAAAAAGTCAGAAAACCTGTTCCTATAATGAAGAAGCAGACAGCTTTGCTGCCCAACATTTTAAAACTGCAAGAAGTCGTGACTAGTAATGATGTTTAAAGAGTGCAGATATCATTTTGTAGGTCATGCTATACTATGTTGCCAGTTTTCTTCGTCGGAAAACAAGTTCATGTAACAGTTGAGGCTGTGCCATTACTTAGTTATATTTCAGTTCCTCACAGTGAAAGCTCAGGTTCAATCCAACTGAAGTTGATACTGTATGTGTGGTGCATGAAGTGGCTGCATCATTGATTTTTATCAAGAGTATTGCAGTTTATCCCTGCCATCATTTAATTAACATCTGTAAATGTGTATGAGGTGTGCAATAGACACATCCAGCCAGTATGTTGTCATAAGAATAAGAATATTCAGCTTTCCATAAATATGGTTTTATTACCAACTAGTTGAAAATTTGTAAACATACACTGCCTGTTTGTTGTAAACTCACCTTGTTAGCAATGAAATTATGTTACTGAGTTATGAACTAATTTTGATTAAAATTCATAGCTGATGACACTGTTCTTTGTTGAACTGGTGGCATACATTTCAGAGAACAAATGTCTACATTTTCAAGTCGAAATTAAAAATGGTGGCATGCTGTCAGTATTAATAGTTTCAGATTACAAGACAGTGGGGTATTCTACACTCAAATTGGTGTCATATGTGGCCATTAGGGAAGCAGATTGGAACTTTCAGCCCCCTTTTCACAGCCCGTTGTTTTCTGAAGTGAGGTCATGCAATTGATAAGACAGTGAAGAAAGCATTATTGAGGTGTTCTGTCTGATGCTTCAGTATCCCAAGCCACACTGAAGTCATAAACTACTTTCCTGCTGTAGTTTAATGTAGGTTGGTCTCAGTATCAACACAGATAATTCTGCCAGTGTAGTGTGACTGTTAACTACAATTATGATGTGTAAAATTGCTCTTTTGGACATTGTCTCAGTTATAGTCATAAAAGAATGGGCTGTTATCAGTCTTCATCTGTGTGTGACCCAGTTGTCTTCTGGCGACAGCTTTGCATTTGCATTTGCATTTAATCCTGTACACTTTTGGAGCTTTCAGTCACAAATTGTCCATGACTGGTCAGAGATTTGGTGGAAGATAGCAAACCAGCCCCACACAACACATTGTGCTAGTGATGCTGTTAGTCGCGTTTAGGCCAATGGTGAGTCTTGGTTTGGATGTGATGGGCATTTAATAAAACCTTGATCAAAGACTCAATATTTATTCAGTCACAAATATCAGTTGAGGGTTGGGACTTGGGACTAGGAACAAGCTGTCAAATCTTTGGTCATGGAATGACTTCTTACGCAAAGCATTGATACAAACATTATAATACAATCATGTGCAATTGAGCTTTTGAAGTATCTGTACACCAAAACATTAAAATGTAAGATAGGACAGTACATGATCTATTGAGAAAACAATCTCTGATTGTCCCCTCAACATAATTCTCTAGATGCTATTTTTTCAAATTATGTGTACAAAGTACATGATCTATTGAGAAAACAATCTTTGATTGTCCCCTCAACATGATTCTCTAGATGCTATTTTTCCAAATTATGTGTACAGATAGTTATTATATATGTATATACATATATATATATATAAGAAATATATACACCATGTGATAGGGAAATCTGATGCTGCTAGTCAGAATATTTCAAAGCTGTTTTGTGATCAGTTATTGCCAACCTTAAAGCTCATAGCAAACTGAATGTTATGGCTGCTTAATCTGCTATGCTGTCGTGCTGGAAACTGGAATTTTGCAATACCTTATACTTCCAACAAAGCCAATGTGTTTGTTCTCTTTGATACTTTCACATCCCAAAACGATTTTTATCAAATCAACATTATTGAAATAGATGTCTGTTTTAGAAAGTTTCGATAACTTGCTGTTTAATAATAGCACAAAAGACGTTTCTCACCTCTTTCACTAAATGTTACATTCCATTCGTTTGAACTAAAAATTAAAATCATTTCAAATGAAAACACACTTGTCTGATAAAATAGACACAAAACATGCCTTTGGATCAGATGTAAGAAAATATGAGTGACAGTTGCAAAAATTAAATATTCAAAACAAGCAGGATGTAAGAGTTGGGCAGTAAATATTTAATTGAACAGAGATTTTAATTTTTTTTTTTCATTGTACATGGATAGAATAGAACACAGTGATAACTATTATGATTCCATAACAGGAATCTGACCACAGAATTAACAGAGTTAACATTTTCCTTATAGAGTTCTTAAATGTAATTATGTTTATCAAATCTAAAACTTCTTGACGATGGTGAAGAGTCATTTGAATAAAAATTTCCTTGGATATTATTCATCGTCTAGTAAAATATAAAACGTAAAACGTCGTTTTACGTTTTATATTTTATATTGTCATTATGTTGTTTAAAACATGCCTAAAACATTCAGTTATGACAGTTGACTGCAACACAAGATGGCCACCAGCTTGATAGCATAGCAGACTACAGCAGGGCAGCAAAGCAATTTATATATTCTGCACTTATCTTAGTGTATCTGATTCCCTCTAGTGGCAGCATCACTAAATGTTAACTGGACCATTTGAAGTTTCTTACTATTCTAATGATGGAAGATTGGATTGATGTGATTTGAGCAATTAGGTCAATTTTCTTGTGATTCAGCTTCAAGCTCTCAGGGTGCAAGGATTTATTAACCTGAGTGCCCTTGCCTTTTAAAATGGAATGTGAAAAACAGGGTACAACAATTTATATATGGTGGGTCCATTTAAAGCTGTCATGTGTTGTGACTAACACTGTGCTTTGTACGGGAGAGGGCAGACATTGTGACCAAGGAAGAGAACTTGTTATTTGCCTGCTCTAGGCAATCAAATTTTCATCATAGTTGGAGATTCTTCCTGTTTGTCATCACAGTGGAAGAAATTTTTTATCAGAGTGTTAGTTGCTTTCAATTGGATGATGAATAATCACAATGGGTGATTCTTCACATCTGGTCAATAAATTCGTGGTTGCAGATGTAGGTGCTCTCAGACTGGATGATAAATATTTTTCATATTTCATAAATAAAGTCAAAATGTGTTTATCACTGGGAGGGAGGGTGTCAACTCAGGTGCATGTTATGCAGCAACATCAGCTGTGTTCGTATTTAATTTTGTGCTTTCAGCATCATCGAATAAAATTCCCACTGTTATTCTTGGGTGTATTATGGCCGGTCACAGCTATGGTTTGACGTGTGCAGTTGGAAAAATTGGGCTCAATTATCAGAACTTGTATTATCTATGTTTGTGTTCATATCCAGGAGTTCCTTATAGCACGCTGTTTCGAAAGTTATAACCTTCTGCTTGGAGATGCAAAGATTGAATATCATAGTTTAATGGTTATGACCCATGCTGAATTCAGTCCTTGGCTTAGCGGTCAGCTGTCCTTACAGGTTTTTATGTTTTTGTCAGTCAGTTCATTCAAATTATGTGATAGTACATGTTTTCAGATATGCAATGCCTGCAATTGGATCAAACTAATTGTGACATCATAATACCTGAAGAATTTTACACCTGTAACAGACTATTTGTTGTTTATGTTTTACTTGCAGATTAGACCAAAATATTAAAACACATTGGAGATAATTGCATATGAGTCAGTGCTAATGTGTTAAGCAATCACATATCTCTTTAAATTCCCATGTTTTATTACATCAGCCATTTGAATTTACTGTTTGCCCGTACAAATAATCTACTGCCCTCACCATTCCATTTGCACAGCCTTAGTTGCAGATAATCATGTCAAATATTCCTCACAGGACCCCAACACATACAATTCCAGATAAATCTCTCTTAGCATGTTGTATCTTAGATAGGTTCAGATAGAAATATACAAAATTAATTTACCTCTCAGGTGACATATGTCTGTGTAATCCTTTGCTTGTCATAGCATGCATAATCTCTTTTCTCTAAGGTTCAGGAGAGTGCTACCAACTGTCTAACATGAGAACTTGCATTTGTCTTAAGACCTTAAAAAAATCGAGACTGTTGGAATGCGGGGCAATGTCTGTGTGTTTTATTATAGCACAAGCCTCAAACCTTAAATAACCAAACTCTTTAACTGTTCTGTTCCACTCTTTGGGTTGGCAATGCTGGCATATATGTCACATTATAACAGTTATTTGTATCCTTTTCACACAGTCTGCAAGGATGGACATTCATATGAAAAGTATATTTGTTATAATTCCATAAAGTTTTGTGACCCTTACATTGGTTACACTGCAATACATGAGGTGCTTTTAATATATTCATTACAGTCTAATGCTTAGGACAGAACTCTGATGTTCAAAGGTTTCTGTGCAAACTGTTGAAATATTATTTGCAGCAGATATGTAGAACTTCAGCTTCTGGGGAAGAGGCTTGCCAAATGTTGAAAATTATCCAATATTTCGGTAAATAGTGCAGTTACTATCTTCAGGCTGAATATATAATGTTTTGGGTGTTTTGGCAGCCTTGTGTAGGGTAGGCAGTAGGCCGAGTGTTGGATTTGGTGGATCTGGTTAGTGGAGCAGAAGAGCATGATGCGCTCCAACAGGAGACAAGCCACACAGCTGATTGTTAATGTTTTGTTCTACAGAGCTCTGTCGGGGTTTGCATCCTACATTTTAATTTCCAAAATATTATTATCCTGCTCCACTAGGAAATTTTAAAGAAACTGATTTTGAGCTTAATATATAGTTTAGCTGTAGACCTGCAAAGAATCTGCATATGGTACTTATGGACCAGATGGTAAACTTAGGACAAGGTGTTTTTTATAATTTGTTGTGAATTTTAAATGTAAAGTGGAAATAGTTTCTTCTACACCTAAACACCATTGAAGAAGGCATATAGTAGGCATGAAGGTGACACTCCTCACCTACGACATGCAAAGGATTAATCACAGCTGTTAAATGAACTTCATATTTGCAGGAACACATCTTGTTAGTTTCTTGAATGAGTTACGATAGCTTTAATGGGATTGCTACTTATAGTTTGTTCGCTGAACTTATATTTGATTGTGAATAGGCCAAGTGTCTCTTTGGTTGCAGTCGACAAAAAACAAAAACATCACTGGCAGTTTCTGTCAAGGTGTAAGTTACGTTCTGACAGTTATACTGTTATTGTAACAACAGCAGTGAACCCTTAAAAATGCAAATCTATTTTTGTATTAGAATGATACTATAAAATGTTTTTTATAGAAATTTGTCAAAAATGTCCGTGTATACCTACTGCAGTATGAAGCTGACTTATGTTTGATAATTGGTGTGCAACTTTTGAAGTACTAATAAGGAAAGAATATTTTCATAAATCTGAAATACGGAATAATCTGCAGGTAATTTGAGCAAAGAAATTTGTTCTTAATGGGTATATAAAATTGCATATGAATAAATTAGCAGAGACTATAAGCCATTGTTAATAGTCCAGACCTATTTAGCAATTTTTATACTTCTAGGGTGTGGCACCTACATGTTTTGAACCATCATGCCTGAACTTCATGAAGTTTCCAAAATAAGAAGTTCTCATTCTTTGGTAATAAACACCTTAACTGGAATAAGCATTCTGTATGAACAGTCTGTTTGAAGGGACTAAGAGTGGCCCTAGGGATAACTGCACTGAAGCAAACATGCTTTACCAGAAGTAGATGGGAACAATCGGGTACAGGGATTTAGAGTTTGACATTGTCTCAGGAATACGTAAGTGGTGGAAAATATGGGAACAATCGGGTACAGGGATTTAGATTTTGACATTGTCTCAGGAATATGTAAGTGGTGGAAAATTTTGTAGAATGACCCTCTTGTTGCATAATTTTTAGCCATTTTCACTCCAATTATGAAAGGATTAAACATCAGGTACAGGGCTCATTCACTTTCTACAAGTGTTCCACTGCAAATATGAGAGTGTGGATTCTACTGCATCGCTGCAGTCACGATGGCGACTACAAAGGGTAGGAACCCCAGTGTCCTGCTCATTGTGGCACTGCCATGGGAGGGTGTCACACTTCTGGTTGTTGTGCCATGGGGTGGGTGTGCTGTCGTTGGGCTAGGATATGCATTTGTCTGAGGGTAATCTCCCCCTCCGCTACCTTCTGGCAGTTCCTGGTCCTCGTCATCGGTGGGGCGTTGTGGCACAGTGTAGCTGGTCTGCGACTTGTCACCGTTACAGAGGTCACTTCCTGAGCAGGAGCAGTAATTCACCCCATTAGCTATCTTGCAGTCATTGATGGTTTCACCAAAATTGCTGCATGTCCGCAGCACATGTGAACCTGTCAAACGTTCAAAAAGTATTTCAGTTTGAGTACCATATATTTTAAACACACATACATTTGTTTATATTAAACCATTCAATTCTCTATTGCCTTCTTGTAGTGAAGCCTGCCAGTTTTTGGTCCCAAATTTATTTTAAGGTTGTAGCAAATTAGTTACATTTCAGGCTGTAGTATAGAAAGACATCAAATATTGATGTTCAGCTTAACTTCAGTATCCAAACTAAATGTATATTAATTGTTAACATTGAGGAGTTTCTACGTATCTGTATATCAGAATCACTGACACTGAACAGTTCAACTAGAAAATTAACTCGCACTGTACCTTTAGGACATGCGTTTTATTGTACCATTGAACCGTATATGAATCTAACCATGGCGGGCTCCTTAGCTAAGCATCAGGGAGAACTTTACCTTTTACCTTCGTGAACATTAATTTGTAGTATAGTAATTTACATGCTGGATTGGAAGATTAATTAAATGATTCGTTAATGAATTAGACGATAAACAGTTTTTTTAGCTGTGCTGGAATGTTCTGCGTGTACACGGTATCCTGCATTCTGTAAAAAGTGGTATTTTGGACTATTCAGAAACCTTTGGACATTCTACTTAAGGGCGAGTACCAGTGAGAAATTGTGACCGAGACATCATCCGGACGACATTTAACTTACCGCTGCTCTGGATGAGGCACCCGGTGGTCCGAGGAGGACACTCCCGCTCGTATCGCTTGTCTTTGGGGTTGAAGTGCTCGCACAGGGGCAATTCCGGGGAACCAGGAAACAGATTCAGCGCCTCGTCCCTCCAGGGCCCTGTCCGTGGCACACACACATAACAACGGTTCCCTGCGACCACTGAAACAAGCCAACACGGAAATACAGGGAGCAGCCAGCCATCTTCAGTTTCGCCTCTCTAATGGTCTGTTTCTTTTAGGTTTTCCAGTCGATTTTTTATTGATTGTAGTTTCATTCGTGATACAGTTGCATCCGTATCGGCGTGAAGCCAAATACTACAGCAGATTTGACCGTGTCTGGATGGGTTTAGTAGTCGACTCTTTACAGCGGTGTGTAGCCTTCGCTTCTGATCAGCCCAGAACAATATGGTTTAATCATCTTGTCTTGGGGTCGGTGAGATATTTGTGTGGGGATAATGACGGCGTCAGGATAGATGGAAGGCTGAAGATGAAATCAAGTGTGTTCATCCGAAACGTTGGTACCAACGTGAAAGTCCACAGGGGGTCAAAAACCCATAAGACAGACATGGACAGGTTCAAATCTTAGATAGATGCAGTAATCGGCTTTTGCACGAAAGTGACTGTCGCTTCTGATTAGCGTTGAATATTACGATTTGGTTGTCTTGTCTTAGTGTCGTGAGGTGTTCATACGTGTCCAATGGCCGTTTCTTTTGGAAATAACATTTTTGTTCCATAAAAGACGGGTTATATCATGACAGCTGACTGCCTGTTAGCTTCTGAAGAAGGACTTTGTTCCGTGTTGTTATCTGGGGATGTCACGATTTAGAATTTCGTCTGAGGGACCCGTTGACCTGTGGGTTTATTAATTAGTTCACGTAGCCTTCGGATAGGTAATGATTGGTTTCCAACGAATTTGGCACCGCACGTTGAGGCCCGAGCGGTTTAACACTCCTGCTTCATGGTCGGGATGTCTCGGGTTCAGATCTCGGTTCACAGTCTTGCAATCCTGACTGAGGTTTTCGTGGTTTTCCTTAGCTCCTCCATAATATCGAAATGGCAGATCGCGTCCTCATCCTTCTACATCTTGTCCAATTCATCATTTAGTAACCATCCCGTCATTCTACACGTAGCCATTGAAAGAATCGTGGAGTAAATCAGGTGTATGGAGTACAAGTGACCCGCGAAAGAAAACTTTTAAATTTTCGTTTTCAAAGTTTTAGCCGGGCTAACACGGTTAATATAGTTAACATGCACGCTCCGCCCCTGATGTGTTTGGATACACTGACTGGTTTTTTATGAAAGTGTGGTGAACCACTGACTTCCGAAACAAAAGCGAATGGAGTTTTCATTTTAAGAACATGCTGTAACATGGTTTTAGGCCCCTCTTGGTCTCCGATTCTGTCGTCCATTCCGGCTTGCTTACCGTAGGATTAATCACCCTGGCCGAGGTTTGTTTGATTTAGGTGGAAATTAAACCACCCTGTGGTATTGGAGTCAGGGCCGTCCATTAGCTTAACGTAGGTAACAAGACAAGTCATAGAAATAGGAAGGAGAAGCAGAGGTGGGAAGAAAATTGTAAAAGAAAATAAATAATGGGCCATGAAAGGAATGAGAAAGGTGAAAGGGTTGTGTCCTCAGACCCTGAACTGGACATCCTTGATGGACACAGTGCAAACAACGCACAGCGTTACAGTTTTATGCGGGCAGTGAAGTGACGTCACAGTGTAGATTACCAGTAATTGAAAGCACCGGCCACTCGTTAACCGCAAAATCACCACCTTACGTCATCAGCGAGCAAGAAGAAACTCCTTAAAACCTGAAAGTGCTGCGTATATACAGCCTCGGTGCTGGTCGTCCTCGGAGAGGGGCGATCCTGGCCGCCATGTCTGTGAATGGTCTGGCGATAACGGCATTAAAGAAATTAAATGTGCAGCGAACTCCGCCTGTAGTATGTAATTTCAGTCCCCGCCGCTGTTACATTGCGGGGAGACGCTGATCTTCCGTCAATGGTGTGCATTGTCGATTATTTAAGGATGATTTATCAATTTAAAATTGTTTGTTGTCAGGACTTTTTCCATCGTCTGTTTTTTAAAAGGTCCAGTGACAGAGACTAGCTCTTTCTAAGGGACCCAACAGAGTAGGTACCTCTCATCTGAGGACGGAGACAGAACCAGCCTCCGAAACGTCTCGGAATTTTAAGAAAAACGATGTAAAAAGTCCTGACAACAAATAATTTTAAGTGTAAACTGCCGTCGTCAAAACCCTTTAGAATTGAATGATTTATCAAGTGTATAAATCATTGAACATCTAGCAGGTTATGGTCAGGTAAGCCATAGTCGTGACGCTACTATCCTTTCGCTGTCTCGGAGGGAACTGGGAAATATTAATCAGGATGAAAAGAGATTCGAATCGGCATCTCTCAGGTACAGAGGTCAGCTCGCCCTTGTGTCATATTGGCCAATGGCGTGCGGTATTGAGAATCTGTTTGGGGCAGTTTTATGCTTGTTAGCACCCCGTAGGAGTGGATGGATCTCAGCAATTTGTACCGTATCGTAGCAGAAGTCAGTGGTGTGCTGTAGTCTCGATTCCGTGACCGACAAGGATTGCTTTAAGAATGACGTCACTGGTGATCTTGGTTTTACGTATTTGAGCGGTTGTCGCGTGGAGTTTCAGGTGAATTTTTGTGGTTTTTCTCAGCCCTTATAATTGAAAAGTATGCATGTTATCTTGAAATTGACCATGCTCTCAGCGGCGATCTCGCCCGTCTGGTACCTCCATGCCACAGACGACCTGCTGTCATAGGAGCAGCACAAGTTTTCACATGCACAGCCAATTATTCTGGTTCGTATCTCCAATTGTATCTGTTGACTTCAAATACAAAGTGCGTGTACTTCACTTCGTATTCCGGAATGGAATCCGAGGCATCGCTCAGAAGTTCTGACCTGTCATGAGGGAAAAACGAGACGGGGCTGGGGTACACGGATACGTCGTGTTTGATTTGTGGAGATAAAATTGACTGTGGGGGGATTTCTCCTGCCGTCCCGCCATTGCTCATGTATCGTCCGCCGCTTCTGAGATACGCGGCAGTTTCGGTCAGCCGGTGCAACTGATCACTGCTTTGGTGAGAACTGAATGGGGTTTGAGCTTAGGTTTTGCCATTTGTACGCTTCTGTGTCACTGATATTAGACATCCAAAAGAAGTGTGGAGATTTGTGGAGATGCAGCAAGTAACTGCACCGAATGAAACGTGACGGCGCCCCCCCCCCCCCCCCCCCAGGGACTTCCTACGCCCACCGATAGGTGGCTCTCCGGCTGTAAATTTTGAACTGTGATTTATAAATAAAATATCTCAAGATCTCTCATTCCTGAACCTTCGAGCTTTACAAATGAATAAATTATGTAATTTACGAGCACAAAGGTGGCCGAGATGGGATTGGTTCATGAAGTGTTCGTCTGTCTTCCGTGTTATTTATTTATTGAGAAAAAGCAGTAGGCAACTCCGTGGAACAGAACCCTCTCTGAAAGACTAAAAACTCAGCAAGTTTTATGGTGCACGAAGCTTCAATTCCGTGTTCACAAATACAGGCCACGGGATGTTATCCTGTGCCAGTTGCATTCAGTCTACATCTTACACTTCATTTCTTTGAGATATGTTTTTTCCATCTACATCTAGATTTCTCAAGTGGCCTCTCACTTTCAGGTTTTACACTAAAGTTCTGTGTCCATCTGTCATCTTTTCCACGTGCACTACACGAGCTGTCCATGTCGAATTTGTCTGGCGAAGAATGCAGATTATGAAGCTCTTCATATGTAATTTTCTCTGTCCTGCTGTTACTTCCTCTCTCTTAGGTCCAAATATTTTTGTTAGCACCCTGTTCTGAAGAACCCTCACTCTATCTTCTTTCCGCCGAGGGAGAAACCAAAGGAAAAATAAATAAAATAAAATTCTCTTATTCTTTTGGATCGTTGATGTGTATGCTGTATCAGTGGGGCTGTGCCCCCCCCCCATTTCTTATGGCTAGAGAGAAAATGAATGTGGCCGAAAATACTTGTCCTTCCTGGCTGTCCGTGAGTAAGTGCAATTGAGCAAGCGATTGCACTTATGAAGTCATATTTTATTTTGTTTCGAACTGAAGGGAATTCGGAAAGTTGAATCTGTTACCAGAAGTGTGTTGATTCCTACGTTATATGACGACTCTTTTAACCGTGGAGGTCATGTGTTTGATGAAGGGCTTACGCCACACGTAATTTGTATTGCATTGTATTTCTTGGTTCCATTACAAAACAGCACACGAAAATTACCCACACGGAAAAATGCTCACACTGACAAATGCTCACATGGACGAATGGCCATATTCACAATACTATAAGTAATCAGAAGCGTTAACTGGTTACCGTAGTAAACCGACGTTTCGGGAACAAACTCTGTCCCCATCTTCAGTGTTTATTCCCGAAACGTCGGTTTACTAGGATAACCAGTTAACGCGGCTGATTGCCCGAGAAGATTTATTGAATTTGCCATGTAGATAACCACTGCCCTTTGTCGGATTATACCTGCAGAACTGTCGATTCCATAACTTTATTTTAATAGTATTTGATAATCAAAATGTGTTTAAGTAGGGGGAGAGGAGGAGATAAAAATCAATAAAGCGAGCTGTAGAAAAGAAAATTAAAAGCAAAGAAATGGTGGGATTACAAGAAAGACGGAACGATGGAAGGAAATACAGAAAGGCGACGTAGGTGCGCGCATCATGTGTCTAGCAAGACGGATGTGATAGTCAATAATTGAGAGTGAACCATTCTGTTCTCATGGCAACCAGCCTCCCTGTCACATGTAAGGGGAACGGGTTTTCAATTCTTATTCTCAGGCTGCACTCTTAAGCGAAGCAGATCAAACTGAGGGCTTCCAGACGTAAAGAACTTTAAACCGATGTGGCATGCGAGAGGTGTCTGCCTGTGACTTGTTATACTGTTTCAGGTCCTGCTCGTTCTGCTGAAGGTGACATCGTCTAATTAAGGGGTTCTTATTCTTTTCCAGACGTACTTTTGCCTTCACCATTGCTTATCGCGGGCCGCAAGGTTATGAAAACTGAAAATTTATACAGTTTAAAAATGTTACTAACTTAACTATTGCAAACATATTCATATATTAATAAATTTCTTTAGTATCATTATTCGTCTCACAAGCTTGAGTCGTTTTTAAGTGTCAGATTTAATT